TCATTTAACGTTGGTTGTCGGACTTATTTTTCGGCTCAAGACTTCTTGTTTTTAATGAGAAATTCCGACTAAATGGGGCTCTCAATGGGAAAAATAGATTTTAATATTAACGTTAATATTATAGAAATTTCGTTTTAACTTGTTTCTAAGCATAAAATAAAAAGAAAATTTGTTTGTTTCTTGTAATTTTATTTCATCTCGTGAACTTTAAAAACAGTATTCTCACTCGTGGCTACGCGAGAATACTGTTTTTAAAGCCCACTCGATGAAATAAAATTTCATCTTACACACAAACAAACAAATATCCTCTATATAAGAACTCCTTCCATAGACATGTGTATACATGATCTATTAAGGACCATTACAAATCCCGTAAACAACCAACCCCCTCCCCCCACCAAAACAAAAAAAAAATCGAAAAAAATCTCATTTACCTTGTAGCAGCACCATCTGTTGCTTCTGCTTTTTTTGCCATAAGTACAGTTACAGTGACAAAGTACTTTGTATTGAAGTCAAAATACCAATGTGATTACATCTTTACGTACGCTGACATGCACATCTTATGTGCTTCAAATCAATCATTTTATTGTTATAAAGATAGCCTGATCACTGCCAATTGTCAATCAAGCACGGCCAAATTTGGTCTCGCTTAAAACATCAAACATGTTTCTCGTTGACATGTCTTGTATGTTCTCAAGTAAGTATAAGCAGTTCCTACTTGTGTATCGCTTTAACTAAATTTTGCGTTATTGTGTGCTAATTTTGATAATATTTATATTTTTCGCTTATATCTATCAATAAATACTACTGTGTATAAAATCTGTGTGACCTTAAGCATCGACACCTATTTGCCAAAATACATACACGCAAATGGTGCATACTTTTGTATAACTACTTCAAGAATTTGGATAAAAAAGCTCAGTTTCAAACTTTCTAATTTCAAAGATGCTTGAATTGCTATAATTAATATGAGTAATACCTAATGAAACTACAAGATGATGTGTTAGTATCAAATAATTAAACTGATTTAAGTTGCAAACAATGTTAACATGCATAAGATATGTTTGAATTCATTTAAATTTTGAATTCATTGTTATTTTCAAGCATAATTTGCATATTATACCATGTATACAAGAAGAGGTTAATATTTTAAAAAAGGATTTTATATAATCAACATTTTATATAATAAAAAAGTGTCATCATTTTTTTTCAATTGAGAAAATCTTGTGTTTTAACGAGGAAAAGTGCTCAGATTGTGTGAATAACTATCACCTTTGATATGTTATAAAACCATTATTTGTAAAGAGGTGACAATGTATGTGGTAAGTGCGAAATGGACAATAGAAAAATAAATAGTCAATCTGGCACAGCTGTATTGATCATGTACATTGAAGTTGTGAATAATATATCTTGGTTTGAGCTGTGAATTATATATCGGGGTATTAGATATGTTCCTTTTTTAATTTCATAAAGAAAGGGTCCTGGTTATTAAGGCCGCTGTATAGAATGACAATAATGTAGATTCTATAATTCCGTATATTCCTCGACGAAAGTTTTACATATTAGATACTGTCAGCGCGTCCCTAATACCGCCTTAGTTGTTGAACTTCAATATGTTGATGATTTATATACATCACAAAATGATTTCATTTGGGAAAATAATGATGGAAATATTCATCATATTTATATCAATATATACGAGTCTCTGATGTTCTAATTAAGATAGATTCACCTAGATATTAATGATAAAAGTGTAATAAAAACATGCGGACTCGGTTTCATAAATCTCTTAATTCTGAACAAAAAACCTCCCATAGAACCGGCTATATAGACATTAACTCTTCAAAAGAAAATTATGTTATTTATGACATCCTGGGGGAATAACTGAATTATGACTTTCGGTGTGCTTTACATCTTCCGAACAAACTTTTTATCACCTGTCATTAATAATCTCTTAAAAATATGTTAATCCAGTAATAAGTACCTGATGTCATTTAATGGACTTTTGGTGGATAAAATAAAGCTTTGAAGAAAATCTTTATTTATTTTAACATGTAACATTTTTATAAGTAAAAAATGAAAGGCAGTATAAATTAATTGCCCTTTTCTTGATTCGAGTATTTATTTATAACATACACGCTCACGCCATTATCAGCAAATGTAAGAAATTCAGGATTTTCTAATTCTATTTTTACATCAATGCCTATAGAAGTTGATATTGTGAAAAATCAATTAATTACAAAAGTAAGAGTTTAAAATTCTAAATAAAAATAAATTAAGTTCCGCCAATCTTATGTTTTTTTAGCAAGAACGTAGAAAAATATGGGTTTCCAAATATATACATATGCATCAAACAGTTTAACAGTCTTGAGTTTCATGTACGTCGTATATTGTATAGTCAATTTCCACGCACAGGCACGAGTATCGGACCTGGGAAGAAAAAATATGACCTGATTGATAAAAGACCTGTGTTCATCTTAAAAGTGTCAAAAAAACCCAGAAAAAATGTAAATAATGACCCCCTTTAAAATATACTATAAGTTAAGAGAAGGCCGGAAACTCCCGATTTCGAGCCTACGAGCAAGGGATTCATTTCCCGGGCCGTTGTGAAAACAATTGGCCAGACAATAAAAAAAAACTTTTATCACTATTTCACGTTTGTATTAAGCTTCCAAATGAGACCGACCCCAAGTTTCTAGCCCTTCCCGTTCATGAAATATCTATCAGGAAACGAGCGAATTCGTGCTAAAAATCCTTGGTAGACAGAATTGCAGCACAACGATTTGGTACGTAAACATAGACTAATACATGTATGTCAGCTGAGTACGGGTCAAAATCACTTGAATTTACTAAATAATATTACTAAAACCATTAAATGAGACCACTCACAACTGTCAGTAGTGTTTCCACGTTGCAATTGCAGTCCTTAAGCATGTACAAACCTATAAAAAATGAAACGTGTTTATGAAGAGTCTATATTTTTTAACCATCTAATGATGCCTTTTTTGTTTCATACCTTATAAGAAGAATAAGATTCAGTAAGTCCCATTGTGGCTGAAGGGTTGCATTTAAGGGTTGAGACATCGGAATAGGAGCCACCATTTATATAGCTGCTTGATTTAGAGAGGCGACTAAATTGGCTCAAATTATTGAAGTCTATGCATCTCTTCGCTCGAGCAGGGGAAGTTGTTTCTAACTCTTGTGCCGCTTTAAGTTTGCAACACCCGTTAGCCAAAATCATTTTTTTTCTGTTACTGCGCCATGTGACCTAAATTTCCTTTGTGCTTTTAGGAAAACCAAAACCAACAAAGGCGTTACGTAAAAAGGAAAGAAATGTTAAATACGGAACAAAACAACTATATATAGCTCTGTACAATTAGTATATTTTTAGGCATTAAGGATACATCGGATATAACAGAAAGTAAGTAACTCGTTAAGGTCTCTATTATGCAAACTTAGAATGTTTGGTTTGTGATAGATAGGATTCTGTTATCTACAGTATAAGAACACGTACATTTTCCCACCTTTTTCAACTAGCACTTGCCAATAATAACAGATAATAGAGGTAAATCAAGTAATAGTCTAATCAATTATTTTCTTGTATTTTTCTTATTTCCAGAACTGGTAATCAATCTGGCCAATGGTATGTTGATAAGACAGATTCTTGAATTATTTTATGTACAATCTGTTGAATGTATTCAGCAAGTACTGTAAACTAGAATTATTATCGCTGCTTGTCAATAGTTCTAAATTCTAGTTTTGTCTATGCCTTGCAGCATCACCTGGCAGAATACGTTTGAAAGGACCAGCTTTGGCAAGCTATTTTGAACGGGCCCTAACGTTTGTATCGCAATGGGAAAGGGGTTATTAGATCAAATACTTTAACGAGATATAACGGTACATTTTAGAAGTGCAAAAAGGCATAAAATGAATTCTGATATTATAGACATGTATAAATACCAAGGCAGTTTACCTTTTATTGTGATAAATATCATAAACAAACGACAAAATAAAAAATTAAATGAATATAAGGAGAATTGGTCAAAATAAACGTTACTTCATTTATTCTTAGAGGCAATAAGTATACCAATATTTTGTACCAACAGGAAACGCGTCTTTTATACAGGTAACGACTTAAGAATTGAGGAATGGCTTATTTATTCAAAAACGAAAACATTTTTTTTATTTCCCTTGTTTCGAATATGCAACAAACACAATTTTTAATGTAAGAATAACAATTAAGCAAAATTAAGTAAATATTTTAAGAAAACGGTGAACAAAAATATATGATCATGATATTTTTGTTTTTTTTGTTTTCTTAGCGAGAGGTGGTTATTGGCGACACTGACACATAACTGATCATACCGGGCCGAACATAAAAATAAATGGACCTAAGAAGAGTCGGTACAATTCAGTTATTTAAATCATAGAATACAAGTTAATTTTCCTCTAATAAATAGATCAGGGTTTTTGGATAGAACTTAGATAAAAAGTTTTATAAGTGAATTGACCCGATAAAATCTATCACGAACATGTACAATCATGGCATTCAAGAAGGAAATGGTTAACATTTAAGTATTAATTGCACGCTAAACAAAATGGAGCATCTTCTCCTGTTGAAACTCCAGTATGCCTAATTCTAAACTTAAGGAGAAAAAATTCGAATATGTCGGTCAAGGCGAGACAATAAAGATATACAAAGGCAATATAAGTACTTAAAAGTAATAAAAAGTAATTCAAACGATACAAACAATTTTGTATTTGCTATGAACTTGAATATGAGCAATAAAAAGCTTCAACAGTATCGTTTACTATGACTTTTATTGAATTCCTGAATTAAATAATTTAGAAACAGTTGCAAGATTTATATGAAATGTTTGAATCATATATCACTCATCGCAGGTCTAGGAGATATAAAATATTGAAGTCAAACGGTTTTTTTCGCATTAATTATATAAGCATCGATACGGTGGAATAAACATGCTATACGCTGTAGCAGTTAAAAGAGTATCGGCTTTGGTAGCAATGTGGAGAATTTCACTATACGCTCAACGAGAAAAGAAAACAGTTTCCAAATAACCATGCTGATTAAAAGAAAGATATATCAGTCGGAATACTTTATCCTTTACAAACAGGTTTTTGAAATAAACTACATGGAAGTAATATTACTACTGAATGAGTGAATTTGGATAAATCAGCAATATACATTTGTGCTAAATGGACAACGGAATTATTTTTTTAAGTATCTGAGTGAGCGATTGTAACGTACTTTACTAGTAATTTTTCCTTTTATTTAAAAGCACAAATGCCGTTCACTTAGAAAGAAGCTGATTTAGTGTGAATTATGTTTCAAACAATTGTGATTAAGCAGTTAGAAATATAAAGTGTATTGACGACTTTAACGTTTGTTAAGAAAGTTGTGAAATAATAAATCAATACACAATGTAAAGTATGTAAGTACAAATGACAAAGTTAAGTCAAATGTTACAAAGAAGTAGTATTGTAGTTATTGGGGAAAGGTGATAACAAGAAGAGAGGTGTTTTGAAGTTATGAGAGAAAGGTACAAAAGAGTTTTGAATTAATGGATATATTCCTTTAAGAAAAATTGCAAAACAAGTTGGTAGAAACATGAAAAATAAACTTTTTTGTTTTAGATTGTAATGCAAATGCTGTGAATAATATATTGTATTGAATAAATAAATAATATTAAATAGTTAAATTTAGAGGAATTATTATTGATATAGAGCAAAAGCTTACACAGATGGATATAGGAGGATATAAATTCTAGTCAAAATTAAAACTGATTTTAGTTTGTATAAATCATAGTAGTTTTGTTCTATGAGGAGAACAGCAGCAAACATACCTTGAAAAAACAACATAACAGAAGTCATTGTATCATGAACGATTAACGATAAAAATCAAATAAAGAGAGAATCGGAACAATGAGTATTGTTTGGATCTGGAACATGGTATGTTTCATGATGGATATAATAGCTTACTTCATGTCCTGTTTTAAAGTTGGACATACTGACGATGGAGAAAATGAAGAAAGGAAAAAGAGACAAAAACATGACGAAGATTATTTTACGTAAGTTGAAAAATCAAAGAGAAGTTTTTCTAAAGCTATACAAATTTAATTAGTTTGTTCTATAGCAATATAAAACGCAGGTCAGGAGATGATGAATAATAAAAGTTAATAAATGTTTTACAAAATATCAAATAAACTGAATGAAATGAGTATTACAAATATTTTTACAATGATAATAAATTCAACAAATGTAAGACCATATAAATGACCTATATAGTTAATTTTATTATTGAAATAGAAAATTTGCGACAGTAGTAAGTTTGTGTTTTCGGCTAAGAATAGCACAAAATACAAATTTCAATTTGTTTCTGATTATATGTATTGATCATTTCTTGTATATCATACTGTTTGAGTGCCGCAGCTGATATTTTTAAGAAGTACAAATTTTAAGTTTTTTGGTTTTTCGAACACATTTGAGTTCCTTAAACAAATTGCTTTATCCTCCTTGTTCATTTTATCCTTATACTTTAGTTAGCATATTATTTATTAAATTTCAAGTATCTCTCAAATGGTAAGAAAACACAAACATTTGAAAAAAAGAATTTGAATTATTTGTAACTATTGTGCCTACGTCAGTAAACTGTAAAAAAAATACGCTTGCAATATTACTTTTGTTCAGTACTTAGAATCCTAATATTTCTTAAATCATAAACATATGCTGTGAGACCTGTTAACCAGTACCTCAAAATACATTGCCATGATAAAATTGTATTACTAGTAAATGGAGAGTGACAATTTGATACAATTGCAAGTAAGTAATGTGAAGTCGGTAACGATATAAAGAAAGATATCTACACTTTTATCAGTCTAATCACTACATATTTTATTCGTTTCGCTCGATTTTTCATTAGGTTTCAGTATTATTTTTATTTAATTTTATTTCGTTTTTAATTCTTAGTTATTGCCTTTTTATTTTTGGCAATTCACTTTTCCTTCAATTATATTATAAATCAATCTTATTAACTCCTAATATGATAGACATTTAAATATGTTAATATATGTTGATGGAGAGTGTCTGTTAGCTCATTTCTAATATCAGCTCTCAATCTGCATTATGTTATATATTTATGTTACTTAATATTCTGTACGTAGCTTCTTGAAATAAATCTGCACCAATTAAACATCCTCTTAATTTTTCTAATTTTTCAATATTCATGTTTTTGTAAAAGTATTAAAGATATCATTTTTTACATAAAAGTATTTCCTTTGTTCTTTTTTACCTTGAACTCCTATATCTTGTCCCATGATTGTTTCAAAAGGATACACTCAATTGTTTTTTACCGAAAAATATCAATATTTTTTAATGCAATTTTATCTTCTAAAATGTTATTTCAATGCTTTGTTTAAAGCTTTATCGATCACAATTCCATTATTATTGAAACACATATTTCATGCATATCTTATACCTTTACTTTGGAAATACGATGGCAATTGGGCCTGAGACATAAAATAGAGACAACATGTTGTTATAAGATATGTCTATTATAAAAACAATATACTTTGATACCGGTATTACTTTTTTAGTCAGGTACAATTATCTTAACTAATCGGGAAACTATAAGGGAAACAAGTTAGCCATTAAAATCACACAATTAATCTAAGCACAAATGTGTAATACAAAAGTATGGAATGCTGACGAATGCATTATATATAATTTAATTTAACACAGGATAATATCTCAGAAGAAATTCTTCAAATATTGTCGATCATTCCATATTATATTTTTGTAATCCTTTTTTTCAGGAGCTATGCAGGCATTTGTGTTCACGAGGAAATGTTAAGTGACACTATTAGAACAAATGCATACAGGTAGGAGAAATACGAGTACATAAACATGTAACACTTGACTAGGAAAGCATTTTTGTTTTATGATGTAATTGTTTTTACTTGATGTCTGAGGGTTTAAACTTTGCTGTGATTTCTTCATCCGAGCAACTGTCAACAATTTTCTATCATTTTATAATTTTTAAAACTTATCGTTTTATTATTTCTGAGTATACTTTGAATAAAATAGATAATTTAACACATATCAAGCAAAATAGTGGAGGGAGGTGGTTTGGAAAGTAAAAAAATAATTATTTAACATGAATATGATATCAATAGATATATATGAAGTAAAATATAATGCTAAACACCTGAACTCTCGTCGGTATAATAAGAAGATGTAAATGGAAATTTAAATATTGCAGTCAAATATTTGCTTTGCAAAATAATACAAAGGAGAAATGATTTCGGAACGTTGATGTTTTGTGACATATTCTGCAAACTATACTGAATATTCCTCATTATTATATAACTAAGGGTATTCAAGTATATACGAGGTTAGAAGCCTGCTAACAGGTAAATTTAGTTTTTACAGGTATGTTCCGTACAGTTTTTAACAGGTATGTTTCCTACGGTTAAAGATCTCTTAAAGAACTAGTTCCATATGTATCAATATTCTTTCTGCTTTTTACATGTGAATTTAGAGTAACATCATTTACACTGACCCAATGTACTTAAAGTCACCTATATTAAGACATATATAAAACATTTATAGACAGAGTCATCATGAGTATATAAGATTATTACTGCACAATAGAATGGTAGTTATTGTAAATGTAAATTATAAAGTTATTATGTACCACATTCATACTTATGACATCTTAAGCATGGCTTAACGATATAAACGAATTCTGCATGATATTTTAATAATTAAGAATGTAAACAATATCAAGCTGTCTGTATATTAAGTATGTGATTGACAAAAACCACTGAATGATTAAAAATTGTAGTTTGGGTATTATGGAAAATATGGTTAAACACATGTTAAAACAATGATGAGCACTTTAGTAAGCTTCATCTTAAAATACCCGCTTTAACGATATATTTGGCTACTTTTCTTGTATGTGATTGCATTACCAAACATAATAAGTCCAATTGAGATAAATTATCTACTTAAGTAGGTAATTTACTAAAATATGGAGATATGATAAACTAGGTTTGTAACAACTTTATTTTTGTTTTTATACTGCAGGTTGTAAGGATTTCACATGTTTAGGTCTATTATTATAACTCTAATGCAGAATTGGTGTAAAAATATTTTGTAAAACATGTAATCGAATTTACGAACAAAATATATATATGACGTATCCGGCATAATATGCAAAAAAAAAACAGGAGCGAAAGGTTCTGTTCAAGCTTTATCCTTAATGTGCAGATTCAATCAAACCGAGTCAATTCAATTTCTATGTAATTTTGATAATGCTTCCGAGGGATTACACTTTATCCAGATTTTAATGTACTCCTATCGGTATATTATCCTTAAATGATGAATGAAGAAGAAATAAACGCTCGATCTAGATCACATTTTAGAAATACTCAACCTATTATTATTTAAATATCGTTTACCGATAATTGCTTGAAATACAGTTTAATATCTTTTCAACTACTAATTATTAGTTGAAATAATCTTATCTACCTACCATGACATATGTGATAAAGACGCATTATTAAATTTGAAGTTTATACTCTGACAGAAAGTTTCCTCAACTATTGTCCGTAGCTAAGCTAATGGTTATTTCCATGCTTCTGTTATAGTTTATACTGTATCTTTGCATAGGTCGGTGTTAAAGGATGAGAAAAATACTGTACGAAATTTTTTTTGTTTTGATTTTGATGTGTATATTTTTCCTTTTTTAAGCTTTATGTGCTACGATATTACATATATACATGAACATGTATTAACGTATCTTACTCAGTTGAAGTATATGATAAATTGTGCAAGGGAATAAGAAGTATGTTTATATGTTTTTGTTCTAATTTTTTAACTTACATTACATAACTTACATGCGTAATGATATAAACTATTAGCTTATATCAAACTTAAGAACTGAGAACAAAGTCTAATTCAGTATATTCTTCCTAGGCATAAACATGGAATTTTCAAAGCATCACGGGAAATTTATCATGATAGTGTTTTAGATTATAGTTCTAACAGTTATCAAAACAGCTGCTATTAAGCTGGAGTATTGTAATTTCATAAAATGTTTAATTTGATATTTTACGAAAGACAAATCTTATTAAAGCTTTGTTCTAAATGCAACGTATTTACATAATAATAAAAGCACTATTAGAGTGCTTGTAAAACAGGGTTCTTTAACAGTTGCAAATAACACAATCTAACACTGAGAAATTTGTTTCTTACTTATCTGAAAAAAAATAATATAAAGTTATTTTCATTAAATCTTACTTGTTTGAGGATAACAACAATTAAAATTTGTACAAAGAAGGTTACTAGTATGTGTTACAAATGTGGTATATGGTTCGATAACACTTTTGAGTTTTTGCAATATATTTTCAACTTCAAAATTCACATTACTGATACGAAAAGAGTAGAATTATATGAGTAGCGTTGGTTTTAGGTTTTGCTAATTACATTCATTATATTGAATTTCAGATACGCAATTCTGAAGAATTATGAGAGTATTCGGGGAAAGGTCGTGGCCGATATTGGTGCTGGCACTGGTATTTTGTCGGTGTTCTGTATTCAAGCAGGTGCTAAAAAAGGTATAAGAATCAGAATATTGTTTGCCTTTGCAGGTTTTACATGATTTTATTTTATTTCAAATAATTTTTGTATAAACAAAACAGTCCATAAAATATACTTGAACAATATTAATCTTAGTTTTATAAAACTACACATTGATTTCACGTGACACTACACATGCTATTAGAAACTTAGCCATGTTTATAAATAACTCTTTAAAAAAGAGAATACTTTCTGTCAGTGTTTAGTTTAGTTTAAACATATTTTATTTCTCAGAATATATATACTTGTTACAATTTACAATTTACAGAGAGCAATTCAAATATTCTTAACAAACAGGATTAGAATGAGAGACAATATGTCTTATGAAATTCAGTGTTTAGATTCATTAAATTTTAATTGTGTTTGTCAAATTCTGTCATTGTAAGTTTATGACTTCATGTTTATTGAGAATGTAGGAACATGTACATGTATTTCTTACATTTAATTGATATGTTCAAATTCCTATGCATTACTAGGTAAAGTTGATGGTATGACTTTGCTTATACCAATTATGTCATGCTTTGTGTATTAAGTATCATACATTATCAAGTTAAAACCGATGATGAGACTTCATGCTTTAACCAATTTTCATGCCTAATGAGAAGATGTGCTTTGTGTATAAAGTATTAGAAGACAATAAGGAAACATTAAAGGGTCCCCATTACGTGTGATGACGAGGTATAAGACGATTTTTGTTCCAGTTGATAAGATGTTTGAACACACATCGATTGTTTTATTCACAAAAACTAGACCATTTTTTGTCATTCATAGTCACTTTTATACGGAAACGTTACAAGGGTCTACATTTAGAACGATCATGAGGTGTAAGATTTTATTACATGTTTTAATACACACCCCTTTATTTTATTCACTAAGACTAGACCATTTTTGTCATTCTAGGTCACTTTTCTTAATTTTTTTTGTCCAGGCGCAAAAGGCAAATGTCTTACAAAACACGAAAAGATACATTTTCGCCGAAACAAAAAGGTTCGGCGCAATAAACGTTTTTTTTTCAAATTTAATCTTTGTAAATAAAATTAAATGATTTTTTTTGAAAACATCTTATTAAATCTGATGAAAATCAGTCGACAGTCACACCATGCCATCACTTATTGAAGGCCCTTAAATGTTTCCTTTATTTCTTACATTTTATATAATGATATAATATTGGAAATATGCTAATGTGTATCAAGCTAATTATGAATTATAGACTGAAAGGTTTATTGGTAATCCTTGACTTTATTAATTGATATTTCATTGTATTTTACATTACCTTATTATACATGTGTTTGGGCTGGAGGTCTTATTGATTAAATTTTAATTACTAAACAAAAGAAACTTTTGTTAATACATATAAATATCATAGTATTTTGTATTTTTTTAAGATTTGAAGCTTAAATGAAAAATAATAGATGATTTATTTACATATTCTATATAAGATAATTTCTTACGAACATTCAGTTACAATAGATGATTGATACATTGAAAGATATTTGAATCAGTAAATCAGGGCATTTTGTTTCCTTCGGTATTGTCTAAAAAACTGTACGTAAATAAATTGAAACAATGTCATATCAGAAAATTTGATCTTACTTTTCTTTGTGTACATTATGTGATTGATATGTTTTGACGTAAATAATTGCCTTCTCCATTTATTGTTTGGATGTTTTAGTATATGCAATAGAGGCTAGTGATATAGCAAAACAAACTCAGGCTATTGTAGATGAAAACAAAATGACAGACAGGATCGAGGTTGTTCACAACACAGTGGAGGTTTGTTATACTTTTTATTTACTGCAATAAAAATCTTAGCAGAGGTACAACTAAACACTAGACTAAGTAGAATTTTATGCCTTAGTAATGAATATAAAGAAAGGGAAAACATTAAGTTTTAATAATGGTAATGAGCATATTAGATACTTTTTGCCCGACGAAAGTAGTGGTGAATGTGAAATTATTAGTCATGAAAGTAGCAAAATGAAAACAGAGTTGTATTTTTGTATTCCGTACAAATGAGTAACTTTTCGCCAATGAGTACCTTTTTGGCACTATAACAGGACACTAAAAGTTGAATGCATTAGTAAAAATAAAAGAATTTCAGGGGAACAGTAGGCTTTTAGGTTAAAATGTTCTCATATCAATTTATCTCTTTACCCCGCTATAGTCGAAGTCCGGTATATGAATTACAAACTTAAAACAATGTTTAAATGTGAAAGATGATATGGGATGTAACTATTATAAAACATTTATCTTTCCATTTTTCATTTTAAACGTCTTTCTTGGTGTTCTTTTTTTTCTATTTTCTTTAATTTTACATTATTTAAGAAAATATCATTTATTATTTCATGTGATAGGCGTTTGCGCTAACAAATCTACCTTTTGATTGGTATTGTGATAGCATATTTAAACGTTTATTATTTGTAAGACAAAGAAGAAAATATCCTAGCTTTTATTAGCAAGAATAATTCGCATGAAAGCATTTTATCACTATATCTTGCAATAACTGTAGGTAGATGGTAAAGTATGATGGATCAGAACAGGCAATGAATACCTGAAAAATTATATAGTGCAGTGACGATAAAGTACATGCTTCCTTATTTCACTTGCTGCATACGTTGATTACACTTGACATTTCCTATAATTTGTGATGTTTATCAAATGCTTCTGACGTGTATTCTCATGAATGTCTCTTCTCTTCTTTCAGAAAGTAATATTTCCGGAAAAACTTGATGTTATTGTTAGTGAATGGATGGTGTGTATAAACAACTTTGTCTTTTTCTTCTTCTTTTGGTCTGGTCAATTTTAACTAGAAACAATTTTCAAATGACGGTCAGAAAATATGTTTCACAGTAACAATTAAAACTATTCAATTAAATATAAAACGGCATGTGTTGTAGGTTAAAAATGAAAGGGGGAAAACAAGTTCATATTGTTATTACCTTGTTTTTACTGAATTGTATACAGGTGATCTTAATTTATTCTAATGCATTTGATATTTTTAAGATGTGATGTTTAATTCCAGGGATATTGCTTGTTTTATGAGTCAATGCTGCCTTGTGTACTACAGTGCCGTGATAGATGGCTGAGAAAGGTAAACAATCTATCTATAAACGTAATGTAATATTGCCTACATAAAGGTTATGTCAATTGATGTATACATGTATTGAGTACAGTTTTTAAATTCAACTATATTATGCCTGATACAATACTTGCTTATATCTTATACACTATTTGGTTATTTTGTTTTTAAAGGATGGTGAAATGTTTCCATCTATGGCAAGCCTTTACATTGCTCCATTTACTGACAACGATTATGATAACAGGTATGTGTTAAGTGACTTATTGACTAACTTATTGAGTGAAAATACCTGTCAATTATTTGTATTGTCTTTTTTATGTTGTTCACATCAATATGTCTTTGACGAACAACCATATTTATCTCTCTTCAATCTAAGATATGAAGAAAATCAGATATAAGAAAAAGACGTTTTTGTTTTTTTTATCTTCACCACAAGTCTTATTTTAATCTATTTTACTTTGAGCTGTAAGACATCATCGAGTATTCAGCTTGTTGTTAATCTTATTCTGTTATTACACTTATACACTAAATAATATTTTTATACATTTTTTAACATTCAGGCTTGATTTCTGGTCGGAGATTCAATCCGTGTACAAGTTATCGATGGAATGTATGAAACCGTACGCACGAAAATCTATATCAAGTACGTATATAAACATTTTGAAAATGATATCTAAACAGATATATAAAAATCAACGAAAAACCACGGAGGTGTAGCTAATGTAGATTGAATGTATAATTTGCTTAAAAAAGTTTTTTTTTATCTAATTTCATTTATATTAAAGAATAAAATAAGATTTACTTAAAAAATATCTACTATATTTTTGCTAGAACAGGTTCATGTTACCAGTATATCACCAGACAGTATCCAGGCTTATGCTGAACAAATATGTCATTTGAATCTCAAAACAGCAACTGCAGATGACCTGCAAAACGTTCAGGTATTTACGCTTCCTTACACTGTAGTATTTTGTACAAATGAAATGGCGCAAATTATTGCTTTTTCATGATATTCAGTATAACAAGGCATTATAATTTAACTATATATATTTGATTTATGTTTGGAAATTCTGAAAAGTTGAAATATATCAGACAATAAACATATACAACTATTTTGAAAATTATTATGTAATATGTTATGTTTTCTAAAATAATTGCAAATGATGAATATTCTTAGTAAAGAGGGTAACCAATAACAATAAATATACACACTCTTCTGAAAAGATTGCTTCAGAATTATAATTGTAACATTTACTTTTACAGAAAGATTTTACATTCCATTGTTTTGGTCAATCTAACATACATGGTTTTACAACATGGTTTGATGTTGGATTTCCAGAAAGTATAACTCTTACCACATCGCCTTATGCTGAGTATGTTTCTTGTTAAAATCTACAATAATACTTATGGTAAAATTCTAGTGTAATAACTCTTTCTCCTTGACATTGATCTCAAACATTTGGTCTAATGTTCATTTGTCTCACACCGCTGATTCAGAAATCATGTAGGTCATCTAAACTTTTATTTTATAAAACTGTTTTAGATTGTTGACGCAAGTGCCAAAAATGAACAAAAGTTTACCATCTTGTTTCAAAAATATTGACGATTAAACTTATGTATCAATTATATGGAACAGAAATACAACAGAACAACAAAAACACAACAACAACAAATATGCTTTTATCATTTCAAGAATAGTTTTACTTTTTTTCATTGTTATCTTACTTTAGAAGTGTTAAGATAAGAAATGTCCATGGTTTATAAATATCACATTATATTTCTTATTTCCATGTTACTTTATGTTTATATTTACAGACAGACTCATTGGTCACAAACACTATTTTACATAGATGATCCATGTGCCGTTATACAAGACACTGTGATAAAGGGAAGCATTTCTATCAAACCGCATATAGATGCACACAGGTACGTTGTCGGTGGCATATACGTTTTTTGTTGTTGTTTTGTATCAGGTAAAATACAATGATATATTACAATGTCTTTCTAGCATTCAATTTTTATGAAATAGTCTGTTTTATTTTTGTTATAAAATGATACGATTCCATATCAGTTATGATAATTGATATCTTTTGTTTTTCAGATTTCTTGACATCTGCATTACGTATCAGATTGGAGATGGTCCAACACATTATAAGACTTACTTAATGAACGACTGTATTACGTGATAGACAAAGCAACTGTGATAAATACCTTATGTGATATTTGTCAGAATTAAATTTATACGTAAATTAATTATCCCACAGACAGTTTTATCGAGTAATGATGGAGCAAATGTTCAGAATTTGAGAAGGGAGAGTTAAAAATATATATGCAGTACTGTTACTGATTTTGATATCATAGCTGACAAATACCAGTGCATTGATGCCGAAATATATTATTTTGTAATACAATCGTTTTTGATGTACTTTTTATTACATATTTTACAAGATGTCAGATGTTGGCAATTTTGTTAAAAAATTGTTGGTTATCAAACAGATTCTTTTTAAATAAAGTATTTTTCTTTCAACAATTACATTCGATTTGGCATTATCGCAATGACGTCCTATATGAAACAGCGTATGATTAAATAAAAGATAAGTAAAGGTAAGTGGTGGTTATCCAAACTCGCATATATTAACTAATTGCTAAACTTTATTCATTTGTATTGAATCTTTTATTTATAGGGATTATGAGAGAAAGATTCGGTTGAATAACCTCTTATCCCTTCTAATTGCTTTCTATTTCATTTTCGTCCCCCATTAATCATTGTTCCTTAACTAAGCAAATACTTTGTTTGGGGACAATACGCCGCTTTTTGAATGTTTCATGAGCATCGCCGTATGAACACAACTGCAAATTTTTCATTATAAAACGTCAGGTGAATGCATAAATGTTTAGGTCAGCTTAAGAGCAGAAAGTTTACTTCCTGCACTACACTCCTCATTTGCTCCAATCTAAAATGAACATTTACAATTTTTTTAAGTGGGTGTTTCGTCCGGTAAGGGTTTTTTTTTTGGTCCCGTTAATTTTCGAATGATGGCAAGAGCTATTCAGAGCCTCCTACTCCTAGTTTCCCAACAATGTATGGATCTGACTAATTGATTAGACTCACAAAGATGATGTTCTGATCTCTTGCAGTTTACAAAGAGAACATGTTTTATTTGCATGTAAGTTCAAATATGTCCTTCATAGTGTGAACGCTAGATGTAATATTTTCACGAGTTGCGAAGCCACGAGTTAATATACGAGCTGGTGTTCACATGTGAAATAGAATATTTAGTGGTTTTCTAATTCCACCAATGATTGCCGCATATATATTGACTTGCGCTCTAATTCATGACATCAAATCATGAGGTCACATTATTCATGTTGTAAATAATTAATTTTAATATCTTTTCAAATGTTCATGTGTTTTTCGCAATAAAACACATTTGACTTCCGACAGAGTGTCTTCCAGACGACATTTGCACTAACATGTGATGCGTTTTGTTATCCGCATTTAAATATAGTCCTTCTACTGCTATATGCTACATTTCCCTATATGCAACAAAAATAATATAAAAAATAAGTTCAATGTTTACTGAAAAGCGTGCAAAAATGATATAGCATGTCATGTAATTTTATTAACAAACAACTGAAATAGACAAGACAGTTTCCAAGACATGTCTTCTATTAATATGGTTTTATGACTAGGTTTGTGCATGCGTGAGATTCAAAGTCATGCTCGATACCACTCAGCCAATGAATTGCTTTTTACAAAGGTGAAGTAACTGCAGTAATTCAGGTAAATGTAGATTTAAAGTAACAAATATTCAAAATATTATAATCAAATATTACCAAGGATAATAATATAATTATTTTCTGTAAGACGAAATGCGGGTGAATTTAATAGCGATGAAAGAGTATTTAACATCCGTTGGGATCGATATATGCATTCTGAAATAACATAACAACCTTACTTTAGATGAGACATCGTAGTGTCACACTTTGTTTCCAAATACAAAACGTCATGTTTGTTTGATGATATTAATTAATTATTTTCCAGTTGTAGTTATATTAAAGTAGCCGTTGTTAATTCATTTGTTAGTGATCGTTTAATCTTCAGAGAATTGCCTGAATAACAAATTGATAACTTTATCATATAATGTTGTTGAAACAAAGGATATTTAGATAACAATGTTAAAAACACATTAAACTAATTCAATTTGTTTAATGGGGTCTGTTCGTGAATTGTAGACATGTTTCGATTATTTATTAATGAAACTTTCATTATTACAAAAAGTTTATATGTTATAAAAGTACTTCAAAAGAATTACACTCCTACTAGAAATAAGTAGCTGTTTATCAGTGACAAAAACACAATTGGAAGTGAACTTGTAAATACACACAATTCGACAGATTTGCGTTGAGATAGGGTGTTCCTCAAATGTATGAATGTACTGGCAGTTACACAAAACTAATGTATAATATTTTAATAAATTAGTACACCTTACAAGTTTTATAAATTAGTTGAATGCCTAACATTTCCTAAAGTTGTACAATAAGATGAGATTTTATTTATGAAATGTATATACACATTTTTCAAAAGGTAGAATTTCAACTATGTATGTAATTATGCAAATAATGAAATACAAATTTAGTAATTATATTTGCCTTTTAATTTGTCAAAATAGAGTACGAGACATTATGATATCATAAAAAACATTTTTATTGCTTTTACGGGTTTCTGTATATTGTATATTTAAATCACTAGCTTTTTAAACTTCTTTATCTTGACCTTTATGTACAAACATAATACTGTATTCATATTTAATAAACTTGATTTTAATAACAGTTATTACTCTTAATTTATTTTCTTTGTAAAGGAATCATGTGAAATTTGGTGGTTTACGAAATATTATGCAGTAAGTTAAGAATGTTTCATTACTGTTATCTTCCTCTAAATAATTGTTAAACAAATATCTTATGAATGCAAAATGTGTACTTGACTAATTCAACGATCTTTTACCACATGCTATCTGGAATAGTATGTGGCTATTCATTTACAATATCTTTTAACAAAGAAGAATATATTTGGGATGTACTTGTACACATGCCATTCACTCAACAAATATGCTTTGAGAAGTTATAGTTAGAATAAACAAGATTTAAAAATGCATTTTTTTATTATTCTCTGGACTTCACGATATGAAAGTAGTATGTTCTTTGTTTCAAGAATCATTCAATACGGTTGATTTATTATCTACATACATAAAGATGGTCTTAACGTCCTAAGAGACAACGTATATTTCAATAAGTTTATTCTGACTATAGTCATTCAAGACTTCTGTAATAAAGTATTTCTATATCGTTTGTCACGTTCTCATGTTTTCTTTGTTATGGTACATACATGTCAAAATCTTGAATTTGTTTGTTTGTAGGCCTAAAATGAGTTAGTGCAAGTGAGTTATCTAAATCTAAAAATATAAGTTTACTTCTTATAAGTCATTGATCATGGTCTTGGATGGTACTGAGGTAAAACAATCTCTAAGTGAATTGTCTTGAAAATTATCACGAGTATGTGTAAAATCATGCCATTCAGAAAAGAAATGTAAAATGACTGTAAGCTTTACAAAATGGAGCATCATCTCTTGTTGAAAGGTAAGAATGTGTAACTCTAGTATGTCAATTCTAAGAAGAAAAACTTGATCTTGGCGATTAAGAAGAGATAGAGATGATGGTTTAGCAAGACAATGGTTGGTATCATACAGCTTTGTCCGAGTTTGATTTCCATTCAGATGAATTAAGATTACGAATGAGTGTTTGAAATCACTATTTGGTAACGATAAATGAACAGACCTTTAAATTAGTGATCTAAGCTGTTGAAATTGAACAAATTATCGAGTTAATATTGAATATTTTAGCAAAGGGACGTATTTTATATCATTTTGATATGTATCCTAGACAGTACTACATGCTTAGATCTTATTATTGTAGTTTTACATCGGAAGACTTAAATGTGTTTTCTTATATATTATAAAAATCACTAGGTAGGGCTTATTTTGGCACCTTGGGCGTTATTTATATAATTTTGTATACCATTGTTTCATGCACTAGTTAATAATTTAGCCCAAAAATATCACCAAAATCTATAGTAAAATTCTGATATGGCAATATTAAATGAAATAAGATTATATCTACATAATCCTAATGATTTCATTTCTAATATTGTATCTTCCAAACAATGTTATTATTTACAATAGCATAAGATCTGATGTATAGTAAAGTCAGTAAAAAGCTAACTGTGTATAACAGTTTATTTCTAACATATGCATATTTGCATGTTATAGTCGGATCGAGGGAAAGAGCAATTAATATCTACTTCCCTTCATTTATTATTTATTTGAGGCTACGTCCTGTAATGGAGAACTTTCTATAAAGCTCCTCTTCATCCGTCAAATGTCTGGGTTTTTTTTTACTTCAGGTACAAATATTACATATACTCGTCTTTTATTCAAACAAATCAATTACAGGCATAATACAGTTGTATCAATTCCGGCATGCCATTTATAACGAGATTTTTCCTGAAAATTGAATGACGCCAAAGTCGGAACTTAGGGATGCGTGTGCTTAATCAAAGATAAATTAACAGATTCGTACAGCCACCCTAGTTAGCTATATGTTTTTTAAATGCACGGTTTTCATAAATTTCTCGGGGCACTGTTTACTTAAGAATTTTCGCGACTCGCTGCTGTTGAAAAATATATTTATTCTAAGATAGTGAAGTACATCTATTTTTACAGTTGAAGTTTTTTATTTAACATATTTGTCTATACTATTTAAGTGTCACAGACAGTCACTTACATGGACTACTGTCGTCCGGTAATAGCTTGCAACATTGCCATTTGTTTTGAATTATAAGCTTTCGCTATGTGTATGAAATTGAAACAAGAAAGATGTAACTCAAACTCAGATATATAATGCACATCATCGATAACTTTGATCAATACAGTAGACTTTAGAATCACTTTATAATTTTTACTTTGTTAAATTTATAATGGTTTAATACATATGTTGTCACTTTTTTTCATTTAACAGTTTTTATAACGTAGTAAATTTGACCTTCACATGAATGATAAAAGAACAGCAAATTCTATACCACGGCCCAATTATTTCTTAAAATTTATAATGGTTAATCTTGATATCATTTTAACATATTCGACCTGGTGTAAACCGAGAATTATAAAGAATTAGCATCATTTGTTGTAGATGAAAATTACCTTCTTGTATCGGGGTTAATGATGTTACAGAATGTTCAGGTGGTAATTATTGACTGTTATAAAGAAATCTACCTTCCAAGACGTATAG